CCTCAATAAAGAATCAAAATGCAGATGCGTTGTCATCCTTGAGGACTAAGATGGAATGCCTCGTTTCCAGTAAAAAAGGTCTCCGGTTCTCTACACTCACCATACGAAACACAGCAGTTTTAAGCTGCTATTTTACGCTGGTATTCTGTGAGAGCGTGGTCTTTCCCCGGCCGAGCCGACCCATTCGTGCTACAACTATACTACTAATATAGCTGCAGCATGGCTCTACCACGTACAAAATTTAAGATTTGTAATTTGATACGACTATAAAAATAAACTAATGAATATTTTTTCAAAGTTATGAGTTTATTAGAAAGGTTGAACATTTCCACTTAGGAATTTAGGACAACATTATTCAAATGACTTCCACAACTAGTCTTACAATACCCGATTCGATCAGTCCAATTTTTCAGTATATTTTCGATTGTTTGGGCCTCTATTTCGTCAATGACAACTTCGATTTTAGGTTTCAAGTCGTCAATCGTCTCTGGATGATTATCGTAACATTTATCCTTAACGGCTCCCCACAAAAAACAACGGACTCAAAGCGCAGCTTCAAGGTGGCCAATTGACATCAGCATTACGGCTGATTATGCGATTTACGAAAACGGTGCGCAAAAGATCGATTGTTACGTTGGCTGTGTGGCACGTTGCACCGTCCTATTGAAACCAAATGTCGTCTATGTCATCCTCTTCAATTTTGGAAAACTAAAAATCGCATAGCATGGCGTTATCATTCACTGTAATGGCCTTTTCGCTCATTTTCGAACCGCCGGACCAAAATCCGCACCAGACAGTCACTCGCGATTGCATTGGTTTCTCCACGATGACGTGTAGATTTTTTGAGCCCCAAATAGGATAATTTTGCTTATTGACGTATCTTCCGATGATTTTTCGGTAAAATGCTCATCTTCGATCAAGTGGTCTACTGCCCATTGAACAAACCGAAAACGCATCGGATGCGGGTCTTGCACTAATTGAACTTTGTACGCATTCATGCCGACATCTTTATGCAAAATTCTTCTCAAAGAAGTGGGTGAAATGTTCAATTCTTGAGAACGATGATGAGTTGATGGTTGTTCACGCACACACAGCAATAGAAGCAATGTTTTCGGTTGTGCACACTGGACGAGTACGTACGTACTGTCTCTACTACGTTTATCCAACAACGATCCAGTTTCATAAATTCGCTTCACAAATTGATCCACAAACTGCGTTATGGCAAATTCTTTTTGTCATATTTTTTTCGTAAATTTCTAACAGTTTGAGTAAGAGACTCACGACTTTGGAAATAAGTTTTTAATATTTCCCAACTTTTTTTAAGCGAAATGCGACTCATTTCATAAATGACAAACATAAAACTAACTTTCTGTCTCATCGGAAATGTCATCAAACCCATAGACTTAGAATATAATATAAATTTAATATACTGACTGAAGTAAACAATTCAGAATACCTAGTTCTTAGAAAACGACCTGTTAATCTACGAAATAATATAGCTTATAATTCCAACATGCACGTACTTCCAGAAACTAAAAGTTCTATGAAGCAAGAAAGTTGGCGCATCTTGTACCTACTTTTATTAATGCCTTGCCACTAGAATTACAAAACACATACGGTAAATCAAAACTGTTTAAAAGTAAACTTAAATCATATTTGTTAAATCAACCATAGGTACTTATTGTAATAAGTACTTCATACTAGAATATTGTGATTTAATATTAATACATCTTTGTTTCTATAAGACGACTCTCTAGCGTACATAAACCCCTAGAGGTTTATATGCTAGTATTGAATAATGTAACATAATTATGCTTAATTAATTTAAAAAAAATACGCCAGTATATTCTAAATCTATGATCAAACCTTCCAACCGCAAAATAACCTATAGTTCCAATTGCAAACGTTAGATTGCCTACCCTGTACATTCATTGAAGTTGTATGTTATATAACTTTCAAATAAATTTATCGGTACGATACGCGCGCCACTGTACTAGTGTACTGTACTGCGCGAGTAGTACCGAATTGTACTCGTACTATGCCTATGCCTATACCTTCATGCAAGAGCAAGCAATAAGTTGACAATATTTTAGCATGAAAGGTATGGCAGCGCATAAAATGCGAACAAGCCAAAATTTATTTTTATATATTATTATAGAAGAAATAATTCTGTAACATCGTTATAAATTGGGAAGAGTTATATTGTTTAACTAGCTGTGCCCGCGGCGTAGCTCGCGAATATAGGTTTTACTTAAAGAATTTGACGTTTAGGGTAAGAGAATATTAAATGATTTATATCATTACTGTATGAATAAGTGGTAACAAAATAAATCGATATGCTCAAAGTGCTAAGTCGTTTATGATAGAGCTTCTGTGTAAACGACGATAGAAGTAGACTTAGCCGGGGCGTACAGAAAAAGGTTACGGGGACTACTAACGCGGGAAAAAGAAACATAGAGTTGGCCATGTGCAAAACAATCAGTACTGAGGTCCACTCCTGCAACGCGTAAAGTTTGACCTTGCGCTTTATTTACGATCGTCGCATAACACACGCTGAGTGGGAAACACACTTAAAATAGGGATGTTAGATGATCATCGATGTTAAAAATTAAAACATCGATGTTTTAACATCGATGTTGACATATGTCAAACATCGAAACATCGACGTTAATGAACCCATAATCGATAATTGGGAAATTGCAAACAATGCGAACTCGCGAAATCAATATCAACTAAATCTTGCATCTGCTCTGAAGATTAAAAATTTTGTATAATTCAGAATTTCTGAACGCATCGTTAACCTAAAAAATGTCAGTATGGTGAGTCAAACTTAATTGTCAAGTGTCTCCTGTAATGTCACAATGGTCACTGCTTTTGCTTTATTTTGTAGTGTCATTGTTGGTTGTCGCATAATAACTATTCTACGTAAATTGATATTCAAGTTAATTGTTACTTTTCCCTTGCTGTGTATACCCACATAATTTTGAAACAATGTGTAAGTATCTACACATATACAAAAACCATCGATAATGGTCAACATCGATGTTTTGAGTAGCCTAAACATCGAACATCGATGTTGAGCTATCGATGCCAACATCGATGTCATCATCGGTGTTATTATCCCTATCTTAAAACTGAAGCCTGAGCCGTGGTAGCTCAGATGGTTAGCGCTCGCTGAAAGCTTCACAGTACTCGAGCAACCCGGGTTCGATCCCCGCCGGCATTAATGAAATTGTTAATTGCAATTTTAAGTGCTGATTTACCACGTGCTCGGCGGTCAAGAAAAACATCGTGAGGAAACGTGCATGTCTGAGAAATAAAAAAAAATATTTCGATGACATGTGAAGTTCGCCAACACGTATTGGGGCAGCGCGGTGGACATTTCCTTGCTCTAAAACCCTCTCAGAAATGAGAGGAGGCCTGTGCCCAGCAGTGGGACGTAAATAGGCTGCAACTTTACTTTACTTTACTTAAAACTGAAAGGAAAGTTATTTGGTATTAGAGGGATTCTGGGTATAAAACAATATCACTATCACGACATTTATTGCAATTTTGCTACTTTTAGTCGGGTTTTATTTTTTGTTGAATAATTGAATATTTCAATATCTCTTTTTTCTGGTTTTTGTTTCTGATGATTTTTGTGATGTGTTGTTAGTTAGCCTACACGGCTCTTACAGGCAGGCATAGACTACTATATATACCTTACAAGCTTGCAACTTCGTCAGACTCATGGACATGAATTTCAATTATTTCAGTGAGTCTCAATACGATTCATCTGCGAAAAATCTTAACACCGCAATTCAGAAAAGGTTGTAATTTGTACCACGCCATCTATTACGTTCTTTGTGAGAAAACATCCTTTTTTAATTTAAGGAAAACATATTTTTACTGTGTTTTAAGTACTATAATAGAACGATAGGAAATATATTATAATAGAACGTTTTTTTTACACACGAATCTTTTTATTACTATTTCTGAGATTTTGTGGCGCCATTAAACAAATTCGAACCTACATTTCAAAATAATAATCATAACTTTCGATAGAATTAACCAATTTCAATAAAACAAAGATTAAATGAACTTGATAATACGCTTTATGATTTTCTTAAGGATTTCATTGAAAAAAAGATGTTTACTCAAAACGTCATGCGTCCATATACAAACAGACAGACCGTCAGATAGTACAATTCTAAAAATTACAGTCCCCATAATGATTTTAGTCACAAATTAATATACTATACAATATATAGAAACAGAAACAACATGTTATTACCATTTTTATTATATGTATAGATTTAAAGAAAGATGGCGCTGTTAACATCAATTCTAAAAATAAGACATTAATTGACGCGATTGATACAATAAAAACATAAAAGAACTTATAAATCAGTGCCTGCATAGTAAGTAAAAAAGAAAGTTTGATCCTCGCCGAAAAACGAAATTGTTAATAGCTCTTAAAATTTGATTTACCACATAGAGTACTCGGCGGTAAAAAAATAAAAAATAAATGAGATTGTCAACACGCAGTAGGGCAGCGTGTCGTTAATATAAAGGTTAGAAGCAAATATGAAACTCATCTACAGGAAAAAAAATTAACCTGTCTTTTTGTATCACATTTGTGGCACACCATCATCTATCGATGAAATTGGTTAACTATTGTACTTTAATTTAGTTTAGATAATAAGGTTAATATATTTTGTATATATTTATTACGTTCTTTATGTAATACTTTTGTTTACTGCGTTTTAGATATAATTATATCATTATAGAACATTATTTTACATCATTTAATTATGATTTATAATATGATATTAATTTTAAAATGTACTTGATGACTCATCCAACGCCACTATTGAACAAATTCGTACCTATACTTAGTACCCATACTTCAAAATATTTGTCATAACTTTTGATGGAATTAACCAATTTTAATGAAATAAAGACTAAATGTAACCTGAATATACACTTAATAATTTCCTTAACTATTCTTATGATATAAATTAGTACTTTATACGTGATACGTTAACAAACAAACAGACAAACAGACAGACAGACAGACAGAGAGACAGAAAAATCTAAAAATGGTAGAAATGTATTTAATTACTTATTTTTAGTATCTCTCAATCACTTTTATTACAAAAATATTAAATGTACAGACATCTGCTATTTACATTTTTATTATATGTATATGTATAGAAGATAGATTAGGAATAATAATTCATTAATTGAAGTTGAATGTTATATAATACAACTTTCAAATAAAATTGTCGGTATGATATGCGCGCCACCTACTGTAAGTTAATTGTACTATGCCTATAATCTTTGCGCAAGTGCAAGCAATATTTTGACAGTTGTAAAGTGCAATAAGTTTTTGCGCAATATTATGAACGGTATGGCAGCGCATAAAATACGAACAAACAAAAATAAATTTTTATATTTTAAGATATCAAAACTTTTTTTGAAGTAAAGATCATTAACAGCTTTTGTGAAAAAGGACCGAAAAATCTTTAATATCGATAACCACCCACCCCACTCCTTTACTGAAAACGAGGCCTTCCATCTTAGTCCTCAAGGGTGACAATGCATCTGCATTTTGATTCGTAATCGAGGATAGATGTAGTCTATCGTCCAGAGCATCCAATTATTATTATTTGAACTGCTCGTTTGTCATTTTTCCATACAAAAAAAAGATTTATACGTGGTAGAGGCATTTTGCAGCTATATTTTGGTTGTAGAACGAATGGGTCGGCTCGACCGGGGAAGGACCACGCTCTCACAGAATACCAGCGTAAAATAGCAGCCTAACGCTGCTGTGTTTCGTATGGTGAGTGTAGAGAACTGGAGACCTTAACGAGGCAGTCCATATTAGTCCTCACGAGTGACAACGCATCTGGATTTTGATTCGTAATCGTAGATATATGTAGATGTCTATGGGCCACAGCAACCACTTACCATCAGGTGAACTGTGTGCTCGTTTGTCACCCCTATCCTATAAAAAAAAAACTTTATTTGGTCCGGGGTCATAGCTCCGCTGCCCTCCCTTGTTACGTCACTGTTGCATGGCATTTTAATGGAGCGCTACAAAAAGTGCAACGCTATTATCTTAAACGCTCCCGAGAAAGCTTATCTGTAAATTGGTTTTCACTGCTATGGAAAACTTTCAGTATTTTTTGCTGTCCTTCTATTCTTTGTTCCTTTGTTACAAGTGAATAAAATTCTAAATGCATGTGTCCTAAATTCCTTTGCCAAGACTGTCGGTTTTTTTATCATAAATATTTCGTTCGCATTTCGGCTTAACCGTAAAAAGTAGAACGTATAGTAGGACTCCTACTCAGCCTAGAGGTCTGTCTAGTTCGGTACAATACCTATTTGAAGTTTAATTACTAATTCTATCAAGGTGATAATATAATACAAAATAAAAAAAAGCATAAAATAAAAATAAAGTGTTGTGAAATATAAACCATAAACATTTTTTTTACAACGTGTTAGAAAAACTCTGTGGTTCCCTTTAAGGGCGTTATCAGAGACAGTATTTAAACGTAAGGGAATAATTTATTTTTTTCAAAAAAATTTAAAATTTAAAAAAATAATTTTAATTAAAAAAATAATCTGTAAATTGTATGTGGTTGTGTTACCTCTAACTGAGACGAGCATCGGTGAAAGTGGGTCTTTCACAATCCTCTTACTCACCGGATAATGCAGAAGTAATAAAACCGCATACAATTTGCAAATTTTTTTTTAAATTAAAATGTATTTTTATGTTCAAGTTTTTTGAAAAAAAGTTATTTATTAAAGTTTGAATACTGACTCTGATAACGCATTTAACGGGAACCATAGGATTTTTGTTACATTGTATAGAACAAGGGTGACAAACGGTCACACAGTACACCTGATGGTGTAGATGCTGTGATCCATAGACATATATCTATCCTCGATTAAGAATCAAAATGTAGATGCGTTGCCACCCCTGAGGACTAAGATGGAATGCCTCGTTCCCAGTAAAAAGGGTTTCCAGTTCTCTACACACGAAACACAGCAGCATTAAGCTTCTATTTTACGCTGGTAACCTGTGACAGCGTTATCCTTCCCCAGTCGAGCAGACCCATTCGTGCTACAATATTTGCAGCATTGCTCTATCACGTAATCTATGTTTGTTATTAACATAATATTTATTTATGTTCAGTATAAAGTATTTTTTCCTATTATCTCGATCTCCCCTGAGTGCGGTGTCAATAAGCACTACGTGTTCAGTGATGTGAAAACACACATCACTGAACACTTAGTGCTTATGAAAATCGTTGTTTTTTAATACTTTAATAACGTTATATTAAATGAAGATATTTTTTTTTTTAGATAACGGCCAAGTGTCTAAGAAATAAAACTTAAAAAACCTAATCGAAATCTATCCAGTAGTTTATCCGTATTCACGCACAAATGCAGATATCTATAATTTTATTTATATAGATTACCAAGGAAATCATTTACCGTAGTCTAGCTATCTACTTTGTACACGGAGATCAGGGTCCTTTAACTTCTACGACGAGTTTTCAACTCTACACACATGCTCATCTATGCATGTGTGCATTGCTAATGTATACCATAGGAAAAAATAAATACCCGTTACCTTGCACACTGGTCACACTGACAGTTTTAGGAAGGAAACAAGCAGGTGGCCATTTTATTCATTACTGTAATTGTGTTGATCTCATAGATTACCCCCTAATAGATACCGCATCATTGAATATTTGTTCTGTTTCGAGTTCACCAAATTTGGCCCTATGCAAGGGTTGCGGGGGACGTGGCAAATGCGCTGTGATTGGATATTTAAAGGTCAAACTTAGAATGTACCAAACCATAGTGATGGAACAGGGTTGGGACGTTGATCGATAAATTTGGGATTTATTGATTATTGATAATGATAAATAAATATATTGATCAATTTTTATTTGATGTTTATTAAAAAAATAAAACATTGTATACATATATTTGTACATTTAATTTATAAATATATGGATAATCTTAGTATAAAATTGTCTCACAGAATTCTTAGGATCTGTCTTCCTGGATGAGTAGAGTTATCTTACGAGTATGTCTATGTATTTTTCCATAACACCCTTAGCTAAATCAATGACATGATTACAACTTTCGTGATCGAATTGGTGATTTTTTTATTTCATGAAAAATATCATCATTAACAAAACTGCTTATTTATTTATATTTATTATTTTTATTATATATATATATATATATATATATATATATATATATATATATATATATATATATTATTTTATTATAATTATTATTTATAATTAAGCTTAATTGATTGTGTTAAAACTACAAACTTTCCTAGTGTTTTTACAGAAGGTAAAGAAGTATTAAATGTTTTGCGTACATAATTATAAGCCTAGCTGAGTAATTTATGGTGAGTGCAAAAGCTCTTAATTGTGGTGAATATCTTTTTCTAACAATTTTGCCTGATTTTCTAGATTTTGATTTTTCTAAGGAACTTAATGCGTCATTGTTTTCCGCTGCTAATGAATTTTTGTTCTCTAATTCTACCAATAATGACTTCAAAGAAACTATTTGTGATTTTAGTCTTCTGTTGGAATCACGTAACTTTTTAACTTTTTTATGTTTTTTGTTCATTACGTTGGTTAATTCGATGATTCTTCTACAAAGATGTTTTTAACTGGAGTATCAAATGCAGATGGCGTATCAGGTATAGGAGAAAACTTTCTTTTTTGTTTTGTGGGCGTTTCTAAGCAATGACTCTAATTTTTAGGTGTTGGCGGGTTTTTCGCGTCTTTCAGCCGTGAACCAGTAATCTAAATCAGAAATACATATTCGTTTCTTTTAAAACATTACCGATATAGTATTATAAATTAATACACCATACGGCACGTCTTCCAAATTTAGATGTACTTAATAATTATAATAAGATAATACTGAAGTTCATGTAACACTAAATACCAAGTCAAAACAATAATCACATTATAACTTTTACAAGATTTATGATTTATAAATCCGTTCAAAATAGCTTGATTTCGACGTGTAACATTTACCTAAATATAAGAATATCATGTTTCACTCAACCACTTAATGATATTATTGTGTAATCTACGTTAGTACTAATCTTTAAAAAAAATGCAAAAGTCCATACCAAAACTGGCAAGAATCCAACAGCTTTATACGATTTTTCATAATATTATGAAGATTGTCTTCTGTGAAGTGTTTTGAGCATAGTACACTATTTTTGGTGGTAAACCATTCGTCCTCTCGACAATTTGCGTCGATCCACATCTTTTTTCCTTTCGGGGCATTTAGGAAACCTATAACATATAGGTACCACAATGATACGTCACTATTTTTATAAAATAATATGACTTCGAAAAAAATAATTAAACGATGACCAAACAAATATCGACTTAAAAATCACAACACTATCGATACACGTGCTGTTGTTAGACAAAGACAACTATTGTAATTTACGTAACGAGTGAAAGGGACATTTCAAAAAGATATCAACGGGTGCTTAATTGTTATCACTTTGCACCATTAATATACCAGTATAAGTTGATCTCCGGTGCATTTGAAATAGGTTAACGTGATAAGAATAGAATTTACTTACCAATTAAAATTTATGCCATCTTTTTGATAACTGGATGTCTTAGCTAACTTGTCATACCATTTTACTGCACAGGAAGCCATTTGTAATGTATTTTGGATACAAAACTATTTTTAAATTGTCAAGAACTCGGACGTGCCTACGGATCACAAACTTGGTCGATACTGATGTCGTGATTCTTAGCTTCGCTTCGTATGCTAGCTACAGCAAGTATGTGTTGCGCGCGTTTGTGGCCCTGTATGCGGAATCTATTAGGAGGTAATCTATGGTTGATCTCTTGTTAGAGAGTAGTATGTTCCTTGACGGAGATCTCCAGGTGGTTAACCTAAGGTACAGGTTTTACCTAGTTTAGGCACCAGTTTCTTCTATCAATAGTATTGTTTCAGATGTAAGCATTCACTCATTGTTGCTCTCTGCCCTCTAGACCTCAACACTACAGTGCACTCG